ATATACAGATGAATTCAATTTACTAGTGTTGAGAATTTTTGCATCAGTATTTATAAAGGATATTGGTCTGTGGTTTTCTTATAGTGTCTTTGTCTTGCTTTGTTATCAGGGTAATGCTAACCTCATAGAATGAGTTAGGAAGTGTTCCCTCCTCCTCAATGTTTTGGAAAAACTTGAGGTGGATTGGTATTAATTTCTTAAATGTTTGGTAGAATTCACCCACAAAGCCATCAGTTCCAGAGCTTTTATTTGCCAGGACATTTTTGATTATTGTTTCAATCTCCTGACTAGTTATAGTTATTCATATGTTCTATTTCTTGGTGATCTAGTGTTGGTAGGTTGTGTTTTTATAGGAATTTGTCCATTTCATCTGAGTTAACCAATTTGTTGGTTTACACTTGATCATAGTACTCTCTTATGATCCTTTTTATTTTGGTCAGTAGTAATGTTCCCGTTTTCATTTCTCATTTTAGTAAGCTGAGTTTTCTCTCTTTTCTGAGTCCATCAAGCTACAGGTTTGCCAATTTTGTTCCTCTTTTGAAAGAACTAACTTTGAGTTTTGTTGATTTTCTCTATTGTTTTTCTCTTTTCTATTTTATTTATCTTTGCTCTAATCTATTTCCTTTCTTCTAGCTTTAGGTTTATTTTGTTCTTTTTCTAATTTCTTAAGTTGTAAAGTTAGATTGTTAATTTGTGATCTTTCTTTTTTTAAAATGTAAGCATTCAAAGTTGTAAATTCCCCCCCCACACTGTTTTTACTGTGTCCCATATATTTTTGTATGTTGTGCTTTCATTTTCCCTGTTTCCAAGTATTTTCCAATTTCCCTTGTGATTTCTTCTTTGATCCCTTGGTTTTTTAAAAGCATATTGTTTAATTTCCACAAATCTGTGAATTTTTCAGTTTTAATTCTGTTATTGATTGCTAACTTCATCTCATTGTGACAGAGAAGATACTTTATATGGTCTCTATTTCTTAAAATCTGTTGAGACTCAATTTCTGGCCTAACGTGTGGTCTGTTAGAAAATGAGAAGAATGTGTATGCTGTTGTCGTTGGGTAGAGTGTTCTGTATATGTCTGTTGGATCCAATCAGTTTATTGTTTAAGTCCTCTATTTTCTTATTTATCTCATGATTCATGCTTACTTATTTTATGATTCATGCTTAACCAACTGAATAAAATTTATAGAAACAAGTGAGTGTTGCCTCATCTGAGTTGTTTCCTTAGAATGCTAAATACTTATTTCAGTGATATTGCTGTTTAGAGTGTCTTTTGGAAACTGTTGGGAAAGGCTTTTAGAAATTATAACTTATCCTTTTGAATTCATTTATTGATGGAAATATTTTATTGGTAGATTTGATTTAATAAGAAACCAACAGTGATTCAAGGCCAAATGTTATAAATAAGATGAGCGAGAAGTTATAGAGTGACATTTCAGTTTAAAAAAAAAAGTCTAAAAATGGCAAGATCGTCCTTCTATTTGCAGCTTATTTAAGCTTTGTTTCTTCCTTAAATGAGGTACTCAAAATAGCCGGGAGCAAACACCAGAGACATCTCTTGCCTTATAAGTTTTTCCAGTGCCAGTTCATCTTGTCAGAAGTATAATCCCAGTCCACAGTCTTCAAAGGAATGAGGCTGGTGAGTGTCAGAAGGCGAGATGGTGACTATTTGGAAACATGATTGCATTTCCTCTTGTAATCCACAAAGTGTTAGGTGGACAGTGATTCTCAGTGTTATTGCATAGGCAGGGAAGTGGTGAAGGACAGTGTTTTGGTTACAGCTACACCAGGGTGATTGTTCTTGTGGGTTTTAAAAGATAGAATAGGAATTAAAGAGAAAGTTGGCATTCTTTAGTTAAATCTATAATGAATATTCATAGGAAGTAGCATTCAATGTAGACCATAATCATAATAATAATACAAATACCATCTGTTGAATGTT